AAAATAAATAAGTCCTTGGGTTAGCCCGGTTATCAGACAACCCAAGGACACTTTTGAAAACCTCGCCCCTGGGTTAGCCCGGTTATCGGACAACCTAAAGGCGTTGTAACCACCAATAAAAAACGCGAAAATCAAAGAAGAGTCGAAAAACCATCGCGTCGCTCCGACCGCGCCCCCTTTTTCGGGGAGGCGGCGACAAGCCTACTGCAAAGGCAAAACTTCAAACACATATCCTCAGAAAGCTACTTGCCTAACATGGATATCCCTAGTGGAACGCATAGGCAAAACCTTGCAAGCAAAAAAGCAACATTAGCCTATTCAGAGGCAAATAAAAAAACAAAACCAAAAGTCTTCACCTCCAAACGGAACATCTGCCTACTCAAAGGCATTACCAAAAACTCAATGGATATCCGCCTACTCAAGAGGAGTCACAAAGATCAACAAATCCCCAGAGGATTCCGGCCTACCTAAGAGGCACTTATCAAAAAAATTCCCGACAACCAGCAAAGTCGGATGACCACCACAAAAGGTCAAAAACAAAGAATCCCTAGCAATCAACAAGTTGGACGAACACCAACAGAATCCCCGACACAGACTGGACGACAATTCCCAGAAAAGACAAAAAACAAAGACAGAACACATCTCAACAACGGCGCATGAGCTACCCGAGCAGTAAGCTACCACCACCACCAGTCCTACGCAACGGACTGTACCAGCCTGATAGGGGGTTTATACCTATCAACTAGCACACAAGGAGTGCCTAAACGGCGCATGAGCTACCCGAGCAGTAAGCCGCCACCACCACCAGTCCTACGCAACGGACTGTACCAGCCTGATAGGGGGTTTATACCTATCAACCAGCACACAAGGAGTGCCCGACCGGCGCATGGGCCACCTGAACAGTAAGCCGCCACTACCACCCTGATGGGGGGTTCATACCCATCCGGTCCCACACAACGGACCGTACCACCCTGATGGGGGGTTCATACCCATCCGGTCCCACACAATGGACCGTACCGGCCTGATGGGGGGTTCATACCCATCCGAGTCCCACACAGCGGATCGTAACTACCGGCTGATGGGGGTTTATACCCATCAACCAGAAGGATCGGCTACGTCGGGAGTAGTATCCGGAGGTTCTACCACGTGTCAACTAAAGGGATCGACTACGTCAGGAGTAGTATCCCGGAGGTGCATAAATACAACATCTCCCCAGAGGATCATCCGCCACAAGATGGGACGTTCAAAGGGTAGTCGGGCGAGAGGGTCAACTCCTTTACCTTCTTGTCTACCTGTCTGGCACAACAAAGCCAACAGCCGACTAGTCAGGTAAAGGGGGGGCAGCTATAGACCCCAAATCTTGCCCGGCCTCCAAATAAAGTCAGAAGACCCCCTATTTGAAGATGGCCGAAGCCTAACAAGCCACTAGGAGAGACTATTAGGCCCCCGTACTAAGATAGGAGGTTTTTTTGGCCCGAAAAATAAAGTTTCTCGCCCTGAAGGGACGAGACCGTCCTCTGGAAGGACCAGATCGCCGTCTCGCCTCACGCCAGGAACGAGACTGCCGTCTCGCTTGACCAGACGGCGGTCTCGTCACCTGAAAAAGGCCGAGATGGCGTTCTGGATTATCCAGACGGCGGTCTCGACTTCTGCCTAGTCGAGACGGCGGTCTGGATTATCCAGACGGTGGTCTCGACCCCCTGCCATGGTCAAGACGGCGGTCTGGATTGTCCAGACGGCGGTCTCGACCCTGTCAGACGAAACGGCGGTCTCGACCTGTCAGGCGCGAAAAACTATAAATAAGGGCTCCATTCCCCCTTTTTCAACACACAAAAACACAGTAGCTCCTCCTTCTCTCTAGATTTTCTCTCTCTAGAACCCCTCCGAAGCATTTCTGGAGTTTCTGAGTGTCTCTAGGTATAAATTGAGTGTCCTAAATCTTCTTTAGAATCCCTCCGAGGCATTTCCGGAGTTTCTGAGAGTTGTAGAGTGAAGGGTTGCCAAAAAGCACCCACTCTTTAAAGAGAAATACAAAAAACTTGCTTTGAAGGTGCACCCTCTCTCTTTCTAATTTTACCGCTTTCATTTAAAATTATGTAGTAGACGCTAGGGCCATGTAGTCATAATCTTTAAATACCGCATAATAAAAGGGTAAAAGCGCAATTTTCCAGTTTAATTATTTATCCAAAGTAGCCGGCCTATCATAGGGAACCCGAAAGGGGCGTCGTAAAGGAACTAACACTTCCTTTGCACGTAACTAACTCCCTTACCCAACTCTGGTTCTAATGACCAAAGTTGGTTTTCGAAAACCAACGCCTTTTTAAACTTCTTTTCCGATGTTTCCGGTAAAAACATCGGTGGCGACTCCACGAACCCTTCAAAACCCGTTCTTGGGTTAGCCCGGTTATCGGACAACCCAAGAACACTTTTCGAAAACCTCGTCTCTAGTTTAGCCCAGTTATCGGACAACCTAAGGACGTTGTAACCACCCATAAAAAACACGAAAGCAAGGGGGTCGAAAAAAACCATCGCGTCGGTCCGACCGCCCCTTCGTTTTTTGGGAGGCGGCGACATCTCTCAACAAGATAAAGGGGGACATCCACTTTCTTCAACTGTCTACTATGAGATCTCTCCATTGATCTAAAAGTCGAAAAATGCATGCTATGAGTATGATGTTGATGCGAGCATGCATCAAAGTGTTATTTTTTCTAAACATTATCATGTTTTATTTTCTACATGATGCATGATAGTGTTTATTTCTTACTTGGTTTTGCCAAAGAAAGGAAACTATCTACATGGATGTTTATGAGTTTGATTATGAAAAAGGTCCCATTTTATCTTATTGCAGTTGTTTTCGAAATACTTTATTTATAACCCCTTATCTCTTCTGTCGGTCCACGTGGCTACTTAGCTTACAAAGAACCTGAAGCCATGCTAGCTAAAATGTGAACTGTCCGAGATAAGGGTGTTTATTGCGAAAATTTTTTGTGAGATTTTATTTATAGTTGTATGATTATGCTATGCAACAAACAAATGCAACAAATGAATGCACAAACAATTCACTCATCCGCGGACCTTGGGACGACGTTTAATCATGAGGTGGGGGTATCCTGCAGAAGAGTGTGTAATCAAGGTGGTTCTAACTATTCTCACCAAGGCTAGGCCCCCAAGGTGCCCCCATTATAGGGTTCCCACTCTTCCAGCCTTCAGACCATGCATGGCACTAAGGCATTGTCAGTCTTTAAGCCAAAATAGGAAGGTTATCACCTTGAGTGATGGTTTCTGACAACAACCTGCTGACAACATGGGTCATTTCCACAGTCAGCCATACTTGCCACCCACTCCCTAAGTTTTTCCACTCATGCCCCCAGGTATAGAGGGACTATTGTGTGCAAGGGTTTGTGTACAGTTTGTATTTCAAACAATTGCATAAATAAGCATACAATAGTTATTAAAACCAAACAGTAAAACATGTTATAAAAGCAAGGAAGGGTAAAAGTGTAATTTTGAGTTCTTATTAATCAAACTAGTCCATCACTAAATCGAATCAACTCTCTAGCTTCCCCAACGAAGTCGCCATTTGTTGCCACCGTCGAAAGAGGCGGTCAAAGTGACACGATGGTTTTGATTGACTCATGTTTTTTAAAGATGGTCAACATTCTTAAGATGTCTGATAATCGGACTGTTCTTAAGAATGAGGTTTTCGAAAAGGGTTCTATGGAGTCTCCACCGATGTTTTTACCGAAAACATCAAAATGGGAAAAAAGAAGGCATTGGTTTTAAGAAAAACCAACTTTGGTCATTACAACAAGAGTAAGGTAAGGGAGTTAGTTATGTGCGGGGAAGGTATTAACTTCCCCACAACGCCCCTTTCGGGTTCCCTATGATGGACTGTTATTTTTTAAAATAAGAACATTAAAATTATGTCTTTATCCTTATTTATTCATTTCAAAATTTAAATTATTGACTACATGGCCCTGATAACTATTGCATAGAGATAATAACTAATAAAAGCAATAAAGGAGAGTAAGAAATATGAAGGAACCTTTGAAGCGAGCTTTTATAAATATTCTTGTGAAAGGGCGATTTTTTAAAAACCCCGTGCTCTACACAGACACTCCTTTCTTGGATCCAAACTTGCTTAAACAAGCAAGAATCAGACTCTTGAAGTAGAAATAGCAGGTAAACAAAGTATCGGAGTAATAACTATGTGTTTTCTGGGTGTTTTTTTGTGTTTTCCTCCTTGAACGAAGGTCCTATTTATAGAAATTTGTTTCCGTCAGACCAAGAAGGTCGTCTAGCCTGACAAGGTCGAGACGACCATCTCGCCATTCGAGACCGTCGTCTCGACATTCGAGACCGCTATCTTGTCAAACGAGATGGTGGTCTCACTTTTGGCAAATGGCGAGACGGTGGTCTCACCAAACGAGACGACGGTCTCGCCTTTGGCCAACGGCGAGACGGAGGTCTCAGTCTTCTGGGTAGAATTTTCTTATTTTTGTGTACAAAAATCCTTCCTATTCTAACATGGAGCCTAGTAAACAATCCTAGGGACCTTTGAGGCCTTGTCCATCTTTGAACGGAAGTCTTCTGCTCTTTAGTTTGAGGTCGGACAATATTTGGGGTCTACAAATATAAAAAAAGTGTTGAGAAGATATGATCGCTTGAATATTTGTTGTTTGAATGCTTTTGTCTATAACCAAATTTTTAGCACATATAAGATTTTGCACAAAAAAATTGTTAATTAGAAAATGCGGGATACAGTTCCAATTAATTCCATATATAAAATCATATACTGTTTGATTTGGAAGCATGTAGTACAAAGTTTCACTTAATATATTTGGAGTTTTCTGTAAACAAGAAAGTATAATGCTGGTTGATAAACCTAGGACAAAGCAACATCAATATGCTTGGGAAATCCTTTCAAGGACCCTGAGTCAATGAAGCAAAAGATCTATAAGAGTTGGAAAACATTGTAATGAAACAAATTATATCTAAAATCAAGAAAGAATAGCATAAGATTTGCTCAAAAGTAAGCTTGCAGTGTCAAACCTGAACATGCTAGTTTTAAGGATAATTTTCACTAGAAACCCATACTGAAGGGTCATCCTCTAAAACAACTATATAATGATCCCTGAGTAGTGTGGACTTTTTCTAGAGTGAAAGTGTATCAAACCCTGAATGATCCAAACACTTGCCTGTTGCTTCAAGAAACTCATCTTGTTGCTGGCATACCGAGGCGACAAAACACACATTACTGAAGAATGTTTAAAAAACTTCCTGGTTTCCTCATCATGAGTCTGCATCACACCAGTTTGCACAAAAAGTATCAGAGCAATCGACAACCAATCAAGCATTCTAACCGATTACAAAAAGGAAAGAATGTAAAATGCCAATTCCAGGTAGAGAAAAATCCTAACCGTCTTGAGTAAAATCTTATCGTGCGAAGTTTTATCATCCCAAACTAGCAATAACACTCTCACCCCTTCTTCAGACTTACACTTCAGCAACACTCCAAGCATCAAATCACCTCGTGGAAACGTCCTAATAGGCTCTCTAACAAGCTTCACCTTATGGTAAATCGACCAACCCACAAAATACACCATGTGATGAGCCTCAGATATGGCATTGTTGAAAGATGATACACATTCTAGAAAGATCTAGAATATAAAATCTTAGATGTTACTAGAATTAGGAATTACATATGTGTAATATCTAGAATCCTTAGAAGATTCTAGAAATGTTTAAAAGTAGAAAATAGATAATTCTAGAGTTAAGAAAATCTAGAATTACGTAAAAGTTCTAGAATTAGAAAACATATGTGTACTAATAGAAGCTACAACATGATTCTAGAAAAAGAAAAAGAAGAAGAAATGTGTAGAAATAGAATAGTGTAGAAACAATGAAATTAGTAGAAAATTCTAGAATCTTGTAAGTAAAGCCTATAAATAGGCATGAAGGGAGTCTTTGTATGTGTGAATAACTAATACAAACTCCTACATATCTTGTAGCACTTCCAAGATCAATTACTATCTTCCCTCATACAAACCTTCTCCTATTTGTCCACCTCTTTCTAAAAACTATTTTCTACACAAATCTCACTACTAAACATCAAACCATCTTTCCTATCCTTCCTAAAATACTAACAGTGGTACCAGAGTTACGTTCGGTCACCTACTGGGCGTAGAGAAATTTTTTTGACTACCTTAAAAAACCCAATCCCACTACACATTACTTCCAAAAGAAAAATTTCAACCTATTGCCACTACCAACCAAACATCATCCATTTTAGTTCCTATTTTTAAGGGAGAAAATTATGATTTTTGGAGAGTCAAAATGAGGACATTTTTTTGTTCTCAAGATCTTTGGAACGTCATAGAAGATGGGTTCACTATTCCAGAAGACATCTAAACTCTTACAGCTGCCCAGAGGAAGGAGCTAAAGGAAAACAAACAGAAGGATTCAAGGACATTATGCACTCTTCAGCAAGCAGTTGATGACACTATTTTTCCAAGAATAATGGGTGCCACAAGTGCAAAGGAAGCTTGGAATACAATTCAGGAGGAGTTTCAAGGAAGCAATGAGGTACACAATTTTAAACTCCATTCACTAAGAAGAGAATTTGAGTTAATAAGAATGACTGATTTTGAGACCATAAAAGACTAATATTCTAGAATAAAAGAAATAGTTAGTCAGATGAGAGCCTATGGGGAAAATATTCTTGATAAGAAAATTGTTGAGAAAATTCTAATTTCTATTTCTCAAAAATATGATGCAATTGCAACTGCAATTGAACAAACAAAAGATTTATCTACATTATCGGTGACACAACTAATGGGCTCTCTTGAAGCATATGAACAAATATTGAAAAGGCGTGAAGAAGACTCAGTCAAAAATGCCTTTCAATCAAAACTAAAATTATGGTATCAAAATGGAATAAATAAAATTAATAGAGAACTTTCTAGGAATAAGGAAAATTCTAGAAATTTTTCCAAGACTATTCAAGGAAAATATCCTCCATGTGGCACTTGCAAAAAGACAAGTCACTTGGAAAAAGATTGTTGGCATCGAGGAAAACCTCAATGTCAATACTGTAAGAAATTTGGACATGTAGAGAAAATGTGTCGCAATAAAAATCATCAACAAGCAAATTTTGCCAAAGAACGGGATAGAGAACAACATCTCTTCTATGCTACGGGATGTTCTGACAATGAATCAAAAGGAAGATGGTACTTGGACAACGGGTGTAGTAACCATATGACGAATGATCCAACCATCTTCAAAGAAATTGATAACTCCATCAATGTTCAAGTGCGATTGGGAAATGGCACCATGGTAGAGTCAAAAGGAAAAGGCAGTGTTATGGTGGAGACCAAGAAAGGTATGAGACTTATCAATGATGTCTTACTAGTTCCCAATCTTAAAGAAAATCTCTTAAGTATTAGTCAAATGATGGAGAAAGGATATACTCTTCACTTCGAAAAAGATACATGCACTATCTATGATAAGAAAAATCTAGAGATTGGCTAAGTAAAAATGGAAAAGAGAAATAGAAGTTTTCCTATAAGCTTCAATCGAGGAACTAACATTGCCATGAAAGTAGAAGTTGATGACTTGTGGCTATGGCATCGTAGATTTGGCCACTTCAACACTCATGCCTTAAAGCTACTACATCAAAAAGGCATGATGAGAGATCTACCAAACCTTAAGGAGAGTAGTGAAGCTTGTGAAGGATGTCTTATGGGAAAGCAACACAGATTACCATTTTCTACGGGAAATACTTGGAGAGCAAAAGACTTGTTGGAGTTAATCCACATAGATATTTGCGGACCGATGAGGACTCCATCACTTAATAACAATAGGTACTTCATTCTTTTCATTGATGATTTTTCTAGAATGATTTGGGTCTACTTCATCAAAGCAAAATCAGAAGTCTTTAGAATATTCAAGAAATTTAAGGCCCTTGTCAAAAAGCAAAGCGGAAAACAGATAAAGGTGCTCAGGAGCGATCGAGGCAAAGAGTACACCTCCCACAAATTTGATAAATTCTGTGAGGATGAAGGTATTGAGCGACAACTTAAAGTCGCATATTCTCCACAACAAATTGGTGTCTCGGAGAGAAAAAAAACGCACTATCATGGAGATGGCAAGATTAATGTTCAAGGAGAAAGGCTGGTCAAATACGTTTTGGGCAGAAGTAGTTTATACTGTTGTATATATACTCAATAGATGTCCAACTAAGGTAGTCCAAAACAAGACTCCTATTGAATCTTGGAGTGGAAGAAAGCCATCAACTAAACACCTACGAATATTTGGATCAATTTGTTACATACATGTTCCTGATCAAAGGAGGCATAAGCTTGAAGACAAAACTATAAGAGGAATATTCTTGGGATACAACCAACAATCAAAAGGTTATCGAGTCTATAACCTATAAACAAAGAAACTCGTCATCAGTCGAGATGTTGAGGTTGAAGAAAATGCTTTTTGGAATTGGGAAGAAGAAAAAGTTGTTAGAAGCAACATCCTGGTTCAAGTACAACAACCTGAAGAAGAAACAGGAGATCCAGGTACGCTTTCTCCACCTCCACAAGAAGAAGAAGAATATACTTCACCAAAGTCTACACCAAGACGTGTAAGATCTTTGGTGGATATATATGAAACTTTTAACATGACCATCATTGAGCCTTCCTGCTATGAAGAAGCTTCAAAGCAAGAAGTATGGTTCAAGGCCATGGAAGAAGAAATCAAAATGATTGAGAAGAATAATACTTGGGAGCTTGTGGACTGTCCTCACGGAAAAGATAACATTGGAGTAAAATGGGTATATAAAACTAAGCTCAACCCTGATGGAACCATACAAAAATATAAGGCAAGATTGGTCGCAAAAGGATACTCACAACAACTTGGAATCGACTAAAATGAGACTTTTGCTCTAGTTGCTCGCCTGGATACAATTAGAGCTTTAATAGCCCTTGTTGCACAAAAAGGTTGGAACATCCATCAAATGGATGTCAAATCTGCCTTTCTCAATGGAACACTTGAAGAAGAGATCTATGTTGAGCAACCACAAGGCTTCATCAACAAAGGCCATGAAGGAAAAGTACTAAGACTAAGAAAAGCTCTATATGGCGTGAAGCAAGCTCCTCGAGCATGGTATAGAAAAATTGATAAACATTTTATCGATCAAGAATTTAGGAGGAGCAAGAGTGAGCCAACACTTTATATCAAGACACAAGGTCAGTATAATCTCATTGTCTCCTTATATGTTGATGATCTCATCTATACAGGAAACAATAAGGAAATGATGAAAGAATTCAAAGAAGATATGATGAAAACATTCGAAATGACTGATCTTGGCTTGATGAACTACTTCCTTGGGATAGAGGTGATACAACAAAAGAAGGAATATTTATCTATCAGAAGAAATATACTGAAGCTCTACTAAAGAAATTCAAGATTTATGGATGTAAACCTGTCACTACTCCTTTAATGGTAAACGAAAAGCTAAAGAAAGATGATGGAGCACTAGAAGTAAATGTATCACAATATAGGAGTTTGATCGGAAGCCTTCTATATCTCACAGCTACACAACCAGACATTATGTATGCTACAAGTCTTCTGTCAAGATTCATGCAAAAGCCAAGTCAGATTCACTATGGAGCAGGAAAAAGGATTTTAAGGTATCTGCAAGGCACAAGAGAGTTTGGTATATGATACAAGACCATGACCAACTCAAGGATGATTTACTACACCGACAGTGATTGGGCAGGATCAATAGATGACATGAAGAGTACGTTAGGATACGCCTTCTCACTTGGATCAGGATTTTTCTCTTGGGCATCTAAGAAGCAAGCAACTGTGGCATAATCAACAGAAGAAGCAGAATATGTAGCTGTTGCTGAAACTACAAGTCAAGAAATATGGCTACGAAGAATACTTGAAGAAATGGGCGAACCACAAGATGGACCAACTACTATCTATTGCGACAACAAATCAGCAATAACAATGACGAAGAATCTTGTTCATCATCAAAGAACAAAACATATAGCTATTAAATATCACTTCATCAGAGAGGCTGAAGCGACTAAACAAATTCAACTTGAGTACTGCACTACAGAAGATCAAATTGCAGACATATTTACCAAGACACTACTAAGAGCCAAGTTTGAAGAATTACGTTTCATGCTTGGAGTTACAAGAATTTGCATCAAGGAGGAGTGTTGAAAGATGATACAAATTCTAGAAAGATCTAGAATATAAAATCTTAGATGTTACTAGAATTAGGAATTACATATGAGTAATATCTAGAATCCTTAGAAGATTCTAAAAAATTTTTGAAAGTAGAAGATAGATAATTCCAAAGTTAAGAAAAACTAGAATTATGTAAAACTTCTAGAATTATGTAGAAAATATATGTGTACTAGTAGAAGTTACAACATGATTCTAGAAAAAAAGAAGAAGAAGAAATGTGTAGAAATAGAATAGTGTAGAAATAATGAAATTAGTAGAAAATTCTAGAATCTTGTAAGTAAAGCCTATAAATAGGCATGAAGGGAGTCTTTTTATGCGTGGAAAAACTAATACAAGCTCCTACATATCTTGTAGCACTTCCAAGATCAATTACTACCTTCCCTCATACAAACCTTCTCCTATTTGTCAACCTCTTTCTAAAAACTATTTTTTACACAAATCTCACTACTAAACATCAAACCATCTTTCCTGTCCTTCCTAAAATACTAACAGGCATAACAAATATCCTCCCAACATTTCCCGTGCCTATAAACCTCTCCATTCTCAAGCTTTACCTCAGGTAGCTTCCCTTTGCCAGATTCAGGACATTGAGCATCTTGATACAACCTTATTGAACTCCCCTTTCTCACTGGAAAATACGTGTTCCTCACTCTGCAGTGCTTCGGATCCTCCGCAATGCCTCGCTGGTAAAGCAAATTCTCTTCCACTGGCGTGAATTTCATATGCACGTGCAACGTTGTGTCTCGCTTTGCCGGCTTCCCAGACGCTCCAATGATAGGAAACCAATCAAAAATTAACTGGCCAGTAGCAATCAGCCGTGCCGGAATCTTCACGATTCCCATCGTCTGCGCACCAAAAACACCATTGTCCTTCACTCGAAACTCCAAATCCACAACTAGATGCGTGAGTGGGATGTGGAACTGCTCTTTCCACTCAGGGTCCTGGGAGTTCTTCTGCACTCACATGCGTGCCACCGTCGCCTGAGGCATTTAAACCGTCACGTACGGGCCATTCGTGATGATCCTCCTGTGGTGGCACGTCTCCTGGCTTCCACTGTGGGCGGAGACATCGTCAGAGTGGAATTTGATTGTGTCATAAGTTACACAGCAACGAAGACGCTTCGAGAAGATGTCCATGTTCGGCAACTACCACGCCTTGATGATTTTCAAATTAAGGTCACCATGAATATAGATGATGCCATTGTCATCATCGCTGGCAATGACCACCATGGAAAATGTGCGCGTTATCCCATGCACTGAGTGTATATAGTTTTGACTTTACACCCGGAGCGAAAGAGTGTTTTAATATAAAAAACAGATAAGTACTAAAGGTGTAGATACAATTTATAAAAAAATATTATTTATAAAATTTTTAACTAATTTAAATATTATTAAATACTTCCTACAAATTTAAATTTATATAAAATAATTTAAAATATTTATCAACTTTATTAGATATTTTTTCAAAAAAAATATAATTATTTCGAAATAATTTATTTCATATACAAAAAATAATTTATATATATAATTAATATATTTATAGTAAATTTGGTAAAAATAATTTTTAAATATTTTTTAAGAAAAATTTACAATTAATTTTTGTTGATATTTTTAAAAGGATCAAAATTATTTTTTATAATTATATATTTTAAGAGAAATTTACAAGTATTTTTTTAAATAATTTTTTGCAAAAACAAAATATAGAGATATGTAAAGAGATATGTAAAGTCGACTTGTATTTGTAAGAGGTATGTAAAGAAATCTCCAGTAAATTTGTATTGAAACTGTGAAAGAATGGTTTCTTGCAACTTAATACTCTTTTCAATTTGATATTTGCTATAAATTTGCTACAATTTAGCTATGATTGTATGATACACAATTTAGCTAGAAAATAGCTTCAAAAAGTAACATAGCTAATATTTATAGCGAGGGATTAGTGACAAAAAATTTCCTAGCTAAATTAATTTTCTATTAAGCAAGAGAATAGCTACAAAAATATTAGTCTTCTAGCTATTTTACTACAGATTAGCTACAACCTTATTCCTTTACTATTCCATATCTAATTAGCTACAAATTAGTGAAAAGTAAATTTTGTAGCAAATTTTCCTAACTAACTATAAAATTTCTTGTGGTGTCCGTCTGTATGATTTTCCAAAGTCGGAGCGGACCTCGGGTGGCATCAACGTGCATAACCGTTCTATCTTCTCCACACGGTATTGGGGAATATCCACTTTCTTTAACTGTCTATTACGAGGCCCCTCCATTATCTAGAAACAAAAAATGCATGCTATGAGTATGATGTTTTAATGAGGGAATGCATGAAAGTATTTTGTTTTTCCTAAACATTATCATGTTTTATTTTCTACGTGGTGCATGATAGTGTTTGGATTTTTACTTTTATATATATATATATATATATATTATTGAAGGAAAGGAAATTACCTATATGGATGTTATGGATTTGATGCTTCGCACCATGAAAAGGGTCTCATTTTCTCTTATTTATGTATTTGATATTTTTCTTTGATAACCCTTTATCTCTTCTGTCGATCCACGTGACTACTTAGCTTACGAAGAACCTGAAACCAGGCTAGCTAAAATGTAGATTGTCCGAGATAAAGGTGGTTATGCATTTTGATTTTTCATTTTTCATTTTTTTGTTTTGTTGTTGTATGATTATCTATGCTAATACAATCAAACAAATGCAACAAACATATGCATAAACAATCCACTCATTCGCGAACCGAGTGACGATATTTTTATCACGAGGTAGGGGTATCCTGCAGAAAAGTGCATTTTCAAGGTGGTTCTACTTGTTCTCACCAAGGCCAGGCCCCCAAGGTGCCCCCATTATAGGGTTCCCACTCTCTTAGCCCTCAGACCATGCATGGTACTAGGGCCTTGTTAGTCTTTAGACCAAATGAGGAAGGTTATCACCTTGAGTGGTGGTTTCCGACCATACCGGTGGGCACAAGGCCATCACTTCGATAAATCGTACCTACCACCCACTCCCTAAGGTTATCCCACATGCCCCCGGGTATGGATAGAACTATTGTGTGCAAAGGTTTGTGTACAATTGTTATTTCAAACAATTGCAGAAGATAAATATAAAACAGTTATTGAAGACATAGAATAAAGCATGTTGTAAATACAAGGAAGGGTAAAAGCATAATTTCAAATCATTATTATTTGAATTAGTCCATCACTAAATTGGATCAACTCTCTAGCTTCCCCAGTGAAGTCGCCAACTGTCGCCGCCATCAAAAGAGGCGGTTGGAGCGACGTGATGGTTTCGATGACTCACGTTTTCTAAATAAGTGGTCAACGCTTTTAGGTTGTCCGATAACCAGGCTTAACCTAAGAGCGAGATTTTCGTAAAGGATTCTATGGAGTCGCCACCGATGTTTTTACCATAAACATCGGAAAAGGAAGAAAAAAGGCGTTAGTTTAGAAAAACCAACTTTGGCCGTTACAACCAGAGTTAGGTAAGGGAGTTAGTTACGTGTAGGGAAGGTGTTAGCACCCCACAACGCCCCTTTCGGGTTCCCTATGATGGACTAGTTCATAAAATAAAGACTGAAAGAAACTATGCTTTTACCCTATTTATTTGTCTACTTGCAGAAATTAAATATCTACATGGTCGTAGTATCTAATGCATACAAGAAAAGCAATAAAAGAAAGAGAATAGAGAAAGGAACCTCCAAAACAAGCTTTCTATTAACTCTTCAAACTTGAGGACACTTTTTGGCAATCCCCTCGCTCTACAAGCATGCTCCTCACCAGAAAAAGAGGAAATACCTTCCCACCGAGTGTCGGATGTCTCAAAAGCAGATTTCCTTAATCGATTTCTACCTTAAATGGAAATCAGAAAGCTTACTCGAACTCTAGAAAGTGCTCAGAGTTATCCCGAAGTCTTAGGAGAGCTTCTAGGATGAGAGAAGGGTGTGAGAGTGTGTGGAAATAAGGAAATGAGGCTCCTATTTATAGGGAAGCGAGCCAAGAAAAGTGGATGGTTGTTTGGCCATCATGGACGACTGTCCATGGCTAAAAATGGGGATAGACGACCGTCTTCTTAGCATGGAAGACCGTCCATGGCTCATTTTTAGGGTGGATGGATGTCTGGTCAAGGTGGACAGTCGTCCATGGTTGAAAAATCAGGGTGGACAGCCGTCTGGCTTTTCTGGACGGCCATCCGCTGCTTTGTTGACAAAAATGTTTTTTTATTTTCTCAGAAATCCCTCCTTATTCTAAATCGAACCTAGAAAAACCTATTAGGGATTTGTCAAAGTCATGACCATCTTCGAAACAGATGTTTTCTGAATTTATTGCTAGGCCGGACAAGATTAGGGGTCTACAATGCCCCCACCAAAGATAGAAAAAGAAATTAGAGGGTTTTTGGGCCGAATAAACTACATAGCCAGATTCATCGCACAACTAATAGACAAGTGTGCGCCCATGTTCAAGTTGTTGCGCAAAAATCAACCGACAATTTGGAATGAAGAGTGCTAGCAAGCCTTTGAAAGATTAAGATGTGCTTGACCAATCCACCAATATTGATGCCGCCTGTTGAAGGAAAACCTCTGATCCTCTACCTGTCAATACTTGAAGAGTCCATGGGATGTGTGCTCGGTCAACAAGATGAGACAGGGAAAAAGGAACAAGCCATATATTATCTCAACAAAAAATTCTTGGACTATGAGACCCGTTATACACCACTTGAAAAGACATGTTGTGCATTGGTGTGAACAACTCAACATGTCCGACAATATATGGTTAGGCATACCACTTAGTTGGTTTCCAAAATGGACCCAATCAAATATCTATTCAAAAAACCCGTCTTGACCAGAAAAATAGCTAGGTGGCAAGTACTCCTTTCAGAATTCGACATTGTCAATGTGACCAAGAAAGCTATCAAAGGAAGTCCTCTGGCAAACTACCTAGCACACGGATCAACAGATAAATATCAATACCTGCAAGAAGCCTTTCCTGATGAACATATCATGCATATTCAACACGAGGAGACCAAAGATGATGCATGGACCATGTTCTTCGATGGAGCCTCGAACATGCTTGGGCACGGGATTGGAGCCACTTTAATATCTCCAGAAAAGAAATATATCTCGGTGATAGCCAGGCTAAACTTCGATTGCACAAATAATATGGCCGAGTATGGAGTTTGTGCCTTGGGTATCCAAGCAGCTCTAGATCACGGAGTAACCAAACTCAAAATGTTCGACGACTCATCCCTTGTTATCTATCAACTCAAGGGTGAATGGGAAACCAGAAACTCCAAATTGATCCCGTATCTAGAGCATATTCACAATTTGATTTTGAGGATGGAAAACGTCACTTTTGAGTACATGAGATGTCCTCGCTACTCTGTCATCCATGTTTGCCTTAGACCAAGAACATGAGATGCCTATAATCCATATCAGGCTACATGGCAAGTAGGCTTTTTGCATGGCAGTAGACAACGAGGAAGACAAATCCCCTTGGTATCATGACATCAGGCGATACCTTGTAAAGGGCGAATATCCCGAGAGAATTAGCAATAATGACAAAAGAACCATTCAGAGGAGAGTCGTGGGATTCGCATTGGTAGGAGAGACTCTCTACAAGAAGAATTTTGATTCCACCCTTCTATGGTGTGTGAACCAAGAAGAAGCTCAAACTTTAATGAGAGAAATCCATGAAGGAATCTTCGGAACCCATGTGTCAGGGAGTGTCATGGTAAAGAAAATCCTTAGGGCAGGATACTTTTGGTCCACAATAATATGCCAAGAAATGCCACAAGTGCCAAGTCTACGCCAACAATGTTCATGTCCCACCAACACCTCTCAAAATTTTGGCTGCACCATGGCCATTCGATATGTGGGGTCGAACCTAAAGCGTCCAATGGCCATCACTTCATCTTGGTGGTCATTGAATACTTTACCAAATGGGTGGAAGCGGCGTCATATGCTCATGTGACTAAGAAAGTGGTAACCATCTTCGTCAAGAGGAATATCCTATGTCGGTATGGCATCCCTCATTGTCTCATTACTGACAATGAGACCAATTGGAACAATAAGATGATGGAAAAACTTTACCAAGACTTTAGGATTCAACATCACAATTCCTCTCCCAATCAACCAAAAATGAATGGTGTAGTAGAGGCAACAAATAAGAATATCAAGAAGATCATCCAAAAGATGGTCAAAACTTACAAAGATTGGCATGAAATGTCGCCCTTTGCCCTTCATGGCTATCGAACGTCTGTA